AAGTAAGTAGTTCTTTCTTTTCTTTTTCTTTTTCTTTTTTTCTTTTTTTTTTTTTTTTTTTTTTTTTTCTTCTCTCTCGGAAAATATACGATTTTTCACGAACGCGGATAAAAGAATGAAAAATTTAATCGCGCGAAGGATATGTGCTATATTTTCTTCATTTTTTTTTTTCTTTTTTAAGCGGAAATAACATATAAGCAATACGATTAATGGGACTGAAAAAGTATCGTACTGATATATGATGATTTTTTCTAGATCGTATATACACATACACACACATATATATAATATATATATATATATTATATATTATATATATATCATTATATATATATATATATATACATATAAAATGGATAGCTTTAAACAAAATTTTCGATGCTTTAACGCGCGGAATGTTTCTTTTTTTTTCTTTTTCCTGTTTTCTCTTCCCCCTCCATCGATCTTCCGATCTTACTCGGTCTTCCGATTTCAGCAGTTCACACGTGAAACGTTGGTTACGTATATCTTCTCTCTTCTTCTCGGATATCTTCTCTAAGTTTTATACTGCATCCGCATAAGAAAAGAAGCTCCGCATATATATAATTACAACTAGATATCTTTTCGAATAGGATAGAATAATAAAATTGTATCGAAAAATTGTTGTGACAATAACATATCAATTTATAGGCGCGTGAATAATTTTTATCGGACGAAAAATTATTTTTTTTGAATGATGAAAAGGAAAGAAGGGAGAGCAGAGACGGATACATTGAGATGCAGAATTTCGTAGTCAAGATTTGTATTACTACTACTACTACTAGTACTACTACTACTACTATTAATATTATCATTATTTTCTTTTTTTTTTCTAAACGCCTTCCAACAGATTTGATTCCAATGGTGCGCAACAAAGCATATTTAGCGAGGTGATTAAAGAAAAGAAAAAAAGAAAGAAAGAAAGAAAGAAAGAAAGAAGATGAAAATATATATTTATCACAGAGTTTATTAAAGGTTCGCTACGGGCTCAGGAGACTCGTAGAGTTCATTAGATAGTGCCTAAAATAGAGAGAATGAAAGGAAGAAAGAAAGAAAGAAAGATGAAAGAAAGAACACGAATTAATACTGCATAGCAGTATCGGTATATGTACAGGTGTTTCTTTTTTCTGGGAAAAGTGTATTATAGTTATTACCAATTATTAATTATTATTATTATTACTATTATCATTATCGATTTACCATTATTCGCACTACTATTAATGCAGCAAACAACAAAACAATATTATTTTTATTATTCACCGTTACTACTATTATTACTATTATTAAATATTATTGTTTAAGAATTATATTAACTTTTAGCTATGGACAAGCACCGATAAAATTGGTTATTATTGCTAGGTATATAAGTTAATGCACAGGCAAGCACAGACGAGTTATAGAGAAAGTTATATATGTATACAAACATAGTATATATTATAATGACCCTCAGTTAGTTTCTGGGTCTAGACCGTTTGTTTTTTTCTCTTTGATTTATTATTATTATTATTATTATTATTATTATATTATATTATATATATATATATATTATTATTATTATATTATATTATATTATATACTTTTTTCGTTCATTCGTTCGTTTAAAAATCTGAAAGAATATTATTATTTGATACATTGTTAACACGTTTTCTTATTTTTTTTTTTTTTTCCGGTGTTGGGACACCGCAGAGTAGAAATAGTTAAATACGAAACGCGCCACACACACACACACACACACACACATATACACATACACATATGTACACGTACACACAAGTTATTTTTTTTTTTTTTTTTTTAGTAAAAATATTCAAGCACCGTTCACGCAGTCGAGCAGAACCAATGCAAAACGAAGTTTCACGAAGTCTCGTTCGTGGAAACAATATACGCGATACCATCCCTCCGTATTACGTTCTAAAAATGTTTCATAGTTCAAGAAGTTTTGCGGAAGAAGAGGGAAACAGGTTCTCGATTCGATTACCACACTCTTTTTTTCAAACAAAATTTCTTATTTTTCATTTCCATTCTTACGTTCCAATTCTATCCAACGAACAAAAGTTGTGCGTCGAATATTTCGAATTATAGTACTATAATCATCTTGAAATAATTATCCGTCACTACACTTTTTAACGATCGCAACGAATCGGCGAATATTTTTCTCTTCTTTCAAACTCTTCCTCCGTTATTTCCCCCCCTTTTTTTTTTCTCTTTTTTTTTCGTTAATAAATTCGTTGCGAAAAACTTTCGAACGAATACCGAACGGAAAGCAGTATTTTGGTCTTCCGCATCGGTGTTATATACGCGTGAGAGAGGGAATGAGCGTGGATGTTGATACATGTGATGCGTATGTTTCGAAAATGATGAACGTGAGATAGAGTTATTTAAAAGAATATATATATATATATATAAAGAGAGAGAGATAGAGAGATATATATATATATGTATTACGTGAGAGGGAGAATACGCACCCGCGTGTGATTTCTTTCTGCGAGAAAAGAAGCTCTCGACCAAGCTCGTACTCGTAGTCGGTATTTAATTAAAATGAAGTTAAAAAAAAAAAAAAAAAAAAAAAAAAAGAAAAAAATGACAAAAAAAAATAATATATATATATATATATGTCTTAATTATACATAGTATCGCGTAATAACGAAAGAGCGTTGAATGTAATAATAATGAGGGGAGGGGTGGGGAGATAAACAAAAAATAACGACACCTTTCAGCTTCCATTCGTCCGAAAAAGCGAAATTTTTGTATTTCGGCAAAAGTACGAAAAAATCCTTGCGTCCAATTTAATTGCGTTGTTAATTGTGTTACAAGAGGGGGAGGAGGGGGAAGGGGTGGGGTGGGGAAGAGAAGAAAAAAAAAATGTTATCGTGACATTTTTACTTTGATATTATATATATATATATATATATTCGAGAAACGTTCGAGAAGCATTGAGTTTGAAAATTCATCGAGGGTAATAAAAAAAAATTTCAAATCGATTTCGAAAATTCGATTCAACGAAATTATATACGATACGTTTAATGAAGTCTTGATGAAATTGTGTATGAATTTGTACGAATCGACAATCGATATATATATATATATATGTGTATACATATATGTATATATGTGTATATATATATATATATATATAGAAATGGGCAATTTCGATCAATTCGTATTAATGAGGTGAAAAAATTACATTTGTTCAAAACGTTCAAAAAGGGGAGACGAAAGTTTCGTCGTGCGAGTAATTTAAACGGGACTCCTTGCGTCGCCGTGAGCGATGCTGAGAATGCTTAAAAAAATATATATATGTAAGAAAAGAAGTGACGAGAAAAAAAAGAATTTAATCAACTCTATGACATGTGCAAAAGCAATCGAAAAATGATCGAGTTACACTTTTTCTTTTTTCTTACTTTCCACGCATTGTGACTACCTTTATGTTTTAGTTTTATACTATTATTGTAATAATTCTATTAATATTATTATATTATGTTATTATTATTATTATTATTATTATTATTATTATTACTATTATTATTATTATTATTATTATTATTACATTATTATTATTACTATTGTCATCGTCAAATAACGTTTATTATTTTATTTTTAATTTTAACTGTAACCTCGGGTAATTAGTTAGCGCGGTAAGGTGCGTTAGGCTTTAAAAAAGAAATCACATTAGTAACACAATTAGATGATGGAACACGAGAAATCACGTTATATCGTATTTTTCATAATGCAAATATTTTATTCGAGCGTTGAATGCTGTGTAGCTTGCGACATTAACGCGACGCCTTCTAATACGTTTCCATTTATATTTGTTGGAAGTAGAATTCAACATATAGATGATATATATATATGTATATATATACCCACTATATATATATATATATATATATATAATTTTCACGACGTTCTGGCTAATAGATTTATTTATATATTTATAACAAGTTGAATGTTATTGTAATAAATTTTATTCGTACGTTTAACGACGCGATTGTGAGTATTTTTCTCGCGTCAAATCGAAAATGGTTGACATTGAAACGATTTGTTTGTTTTTCTTCTCGTCTATCGCCAGGACGTCGTTGTTCCGTTGGAAATTTTTTCGCGAACGAATATCGAATTTCGCGGTTTTTAAAGTGCGCGCGTGTTCAAAATATCTTGATGATCCATCTATGGAAGAAGAAAGCTCGAAAAAGGCATCTTGAATAAAGAAAAATAGAGGGAAGAGAAGGGAGTCACGTATACCACACGTGCTCCACCTATTTTTTTTTTTTTTGTTATTTTTTACTTACACATTTTATCGACACTTTAACGAGTGAACACACTTTAACAAAAATTCGCATGTCACCCAATATGTAACGTTATAACGATAATATTACACACGTATTGTACGATTATACATAATGGGTATATATGAAGATATATATACCGACACATATATTTGCACACTTGAGAAATTGCACGGCACTATGCATATATGTCTCGATAGAAGAAAGAAACGGTATATACACATACATACATACATACATACATACACACACACACACACACGATTATATCGATGACGTTAAACGTAACGGGGAGGAAAAAAAAAAAAAAAGAAAAAGGAAAAACAAAAAAACATGCAGGAGGTTAAAACTACCGCACGATTCAATTAATTAATCGTAAGTTTTTTTTTTTTTTTCTTTTGCAATAGAAGAGAAAGAAGTTGCGAGGACTATTATAAGAGATATATAATTGCGTGTATGCGCGCGTGCGCGCGCGCGCGCGCGAGCGAATACAGAAAAAAAATTTATTATATATTATATATAAATACTATATTATATTATATGTTATATTATTGTACGTTCACTCTATTCGAGGGTGGAGACGCGTTTAAACAAGGAAGCAAAAAAGAAAAAGGAAAAAAAAAGTTATATACATATAACAGTAAATATAATAAAGGAAACAATGAAGAATGAACACGTTCGCACATTTATCGTCGGTCGGTTGGCTGTACATTTGTTCTGATGTACGTACGTATGTACCTATATTATTTGTCGATGCCTGGATGGCGATAAGAAGGATAATAACGATTTAACGACTATTATTATTTTTATTTGTTTTTATCTAATTGTAGTTTCTTTGTAACTCTTTTGTGATATAGAAACCGCAATAGTCTATCCGACCGTTTATTTCTTGTATCGATTAGCGCAACCTTCATTAAAGCAAGACAGAGAAACATTAACATCTCTCTAACTCTAAACCTCCTCCGGCTTCTCCTTTCCAACTATATTCCTCCCTTCTTCCCCCCACTCCACTCCTCTCTGTTTTCCTCGCGCGTGGAAACAAATGTTCACCGACCAATTACAATTGGATACAATTCCTCGCGAATAATATACCCGCGCTTAATTAAACCCTCTTAATTGGAATTAATTTTCCAAGGAATTTCTCTGCCACTCTTCTAAATTAAGAAGACTTCAACAATGATTTCTTGTTAATATACTACTTTGAATATAATTTATGTAATATATATATATATATA